AAGGAGCGAGGTAGTCCCCAGCGGGAAATCTGGGGAGCACGCTCAACGTCGACTGCGCTGCTATTTTTTTCGGGGACGAAAAGCAAAGATACACATTAAATTAAGAAAATACCATATTCCAAATAAATAAATAACGTAGGTTATTTTATTATAAATAGTTTGCGTTTATTTGTAACTGGAACGGCGCTCGAGGTTCGCGCCGTTCCTCTTCCGTCGTTTTTCTCTGACGATGGTGGCGGAGGCCGGCGGCTGCGCTTCAGCCCTGGCGGCCAAGCGTAGAAAGCAAGCTACTCGGGCCGACAGCTGAACATGCTCATTGATAACATGTTCGCAAACCGAGTGTCTGTCGGCGCAGAAACGGAGTCTACTTCTAAGGATCGGTCGACTAATTAACTACAATATGTTACCGTTTTAATTAATATAAAAGTAATATTTTATTTAAAAAGATGCTGAGCGTCATCGAAAACCATTCAATCTGTCAATATTTGCCACAGTTGAAGCAAGTGGGAAGGAAGCACGGTGGAGAGCTTTTGTAGCAGGATTGATACCCCCAGTGCGACAACGTGCTCGTGTGGTATCTTATCGTCTGCCTTTTCTCACCGCCATCCGTGCGCCTGTTGCGCGAGTTGCGACTTTAGCGCACTACTGCGCTTCTCACGCGCCGAGTCTTTCTAAAATCTAGTGATTTAGTTGTTTTTCTTGACGTTCCGCAACTTTTAATTAAAAACATATGTTGATTTTCGCTAAATGAAAAGTGAACGAAAAACTTTTAGTTAATTATTCGAGCCTATTTTGACGATTAGCCCACGTCCCTCTGGCCGTATAACTCACCTGCACACACTGTATTAGTGTAGTTTTCCCGGCTTTTTTTTAAAAACAAATTTGTAAAGCTTACAAAGAAACAGCCCGTAGACAGGAAAACAAGACGCCAATATTTGCGTAGTACACACTATAGTCGGTTGCAAGCTAAGAAAAAACCGGAAATGCCTCTCAGAGGAAAATGTAATCCTACGCCGAGAAACGCCAGCCAATTGTTTTCATGACGTCACGATTCTGTGGACCAATCGCGATCCTTTTGAAAAAAAGAAAAGCTCAACATGGCTGCAGGCCTTAGCAACGCGATGCTATAGTTTCTCGTGACAATTATTCTGCTTTTTTGCACCGTGTTTTACGTGCCCGAGGTTACGCCACGAAATCTTGATGGTATCGGCTTGCGTTTGCAGCAGTTTTTGCGCGACAACGTGAGAATCCAGCGACGCTATCGCCAACGAAAATTTCGAAGCGGGCGCGAGGCTTAGCACTGCTGAGAGGTACGTTAGACGGTATGTTAGACAGTATCTTGGACACAAAATGAATTGGGAAGACGGTACATTGGACATGAATTTCTTTCTTTCTTTACTAAACAGCTATTTCGTTGACAAAAACGTATTCTAACTTATTTAAATGTCCTGAATGAATTAAATAAATATCGTAGTAGTTTAAGACAGGTTTCCTGGAGGAAGAAAAAGCAACGCTGCTAGCGAACTACTTTCTCGACGGCGGAGGCACTTCAGATGGGCGCAATGCGCTTGTGGGTGGAGCTAAAAGATTGTTCTTAGGTTGCATCCGACTATAGTCTAGATTCGATGTGAGAATGTTCCTTGAATTGGATGAAAAACCCAAGAACGTTTTGAAGAGCAGTCTTCGATGTGGTTCACCGGAAACTGGTTTCCGGTGATCATATATCTGGATCTGCTTTCGGCGATTCATCGATTCAAAAGAAAGAAACTGCGTCATTCATGAAAAGTTTCCTTTCTTTGAGTCCGCCTAGGGAACCCCGGTAAACATAAACATATATCATTAGCATAATGCGGCAGCACAACCTTCGTATCTAAACGATTAAGAAAAAATCCAAGCGGAAATGTATTCCACGTAGCAAGTAGGCAAACTCTTGGAAGCCGTCGAGTGAAATGCTCGCCTCGGGCACCGTGTATCGCGAAGTGACGTCCGGGGAAAACAAACTTTCCTCCGTTGAAGTCAAGGATATTCTCAGTTGTTTATTTATTTCTTTTTCGATGTGTACGTCGTTTGGCGTGCTTTTTATCTGGAAGTGGCCATGGTTAGCCTGAGGAGTTTATACGTAGATTTTTGGGAGTACCCCAATCTTTGACCTGTGCTTTATAGGTAATGTTTCCGGTTCGACTTCCGGTGCGCCTTGACCCAAGTCGCAGTCATCCGTTTTCTTCGTGTATTTTTTTCTAAACAACTTAATGATTGCCGTTATGCTATCTGCTCATGGTTATTGTCACCCTGATGACCAAAGCTTGATATATTATGGTCACCTCTTCAGCATTGGAGCATAAAAATGCGGAAGGTTCATGTTCGCGCACAAAAAGTAATCGGTAATGAAATACTGCGACAAGCGGACCTTAGTTTAAAATTGCCGCTTGCTCACGGTTTAACTAAATTATTGTATTACTTACAGTTTTACAGTAACATAACAGTCACCTTTAGAGAATCAAGCACCTAGATCACATAAAGTACTAGTACATAGAGAAAAGTATAAACATATGGAAAAGTCTCGCGCCGAAAAAGCAGAGATACCCATTATCAAAGCAAGAGGCCGTGAAGAATAGACTTGTACTATTATTACCTCCTAATGTCTACACGCAGTTATGTAAGATAAGTCAATACACACATTTGTTTCTCGGTAGCCAATGCGACTGTAATATATTTGGTCAATGATATACTTTGTGCCTTATTTTTTGAACCCGCAATGAGTCATCAATTTTAAAGATAACAAAGTTCACATTGTCCCGTGGGAAGGGGCGGTCGGGATTGTTTTTTAATTAAGAACTAACACGATAACTGAGTAAAATTTGGTATATTACAATGTGAGCCCAAGACATTTTATGAACTCGGCCCCCCCCCCCCCCCCCCCGAAATCTTCCAATTTTCTGGGACCTCCTCTCGCACTTTCCCTTATACAGCATTTTGTCATGGGCGGCCCCCCCCCCCCCCCCCCCCCCCCCCCCCCCCCCCCCCCCCAGAAACAAAATCCTGGCTACGTGCCTGGCATGCGGTTAGACGACTAAAAATTGCGGTACATAGTGGTTTTTTTAAGTCCGTCAAGGAGTCGATTCCTTAACAATACGAAAAGAACTTCGCAAATTACGAGGCGAATGAAATATTCGTACTGAAGGTCGGCGATGTGGAAATGAGCAGGACTTGATAGATGCTCAAGTCGCACTTTTTATACGCGATACGCAGGAAAAAGTGAAATTCTTCGAAGGCGCAATTGATTTCTCGACAATTTAAAAATGCTACCTCGAAGCTGACAACCCCCCCAATTACGAGGGTCACAAGTATGTCACTTTGGCCCACTGATTAGTTCGTGTGATTCATTATATACTTACGTTCAATGATTGTATCTCAAGGTGAAGCACATTAGATGAGGCACTTTTTGACGTTGTTTACCTAAAGCGAGGAGCTTGTCTGAATTCATTAGGGCAACCTCCACATCCTTTTTACAGCCTTCAAAAATCAAGGGTGTTCAGTTCAACGGCGCACTATTTTACGATTGAAAAGTGCGTATTATGTGAAAATAAGGGTGCTGTAAGAATTTAGTCAGGGGAGTATGTGTGTGGAACAGCGTTTTCACACAATTAAAGATGTGAAATGTTCGTAGTATCTCTTTGGAAGGTGTTTTATACCCTAGTCACACTAGCGCTCTCAGTTCTAATTAAGCCAACCATTGCTGACATTTCTTAACTGTCACTGAGATCAGCTAAGTTGTCCGATGTTACACGGTACATAGGCCGAACAACCTCAGTTGAGATGCGCGTTAAGGAACACACTTGAAACCGGAACGAAACCAAAACTGATGTCGCATTTTATTTAGTTAGAGCGATGCAAATGACTTATATGCACACTTTTCATTCATCATAAATGCCCAAAACAAAATAAAATAAAATTATATTTTTGTTTTTAGAGTAAACAAACGACAGTCAGAATGTTTTATTTAAATTCAAGCGAGAGAACCAATATATATCTTATTGATACCGACATTACAATGGCCACCTTAGCCGAGCTTTGGCTCCGCGACGTGCCGTGATCGTTCTAGCGACAGACAGCTCTAGCTCCGAATGATACCTCTTCGGACAATATTTGTTCCTACGATACTTTCTAGATACCTCCTCCAATCTTCCGAAATAGTAGGTGCTTCGCTGGCGCTGGTCATGGGCGGCGATGCGGCACACGCCGTCATCTTTAGCTCTATTGGGGCGAACCCCCGTGAGTAATAGACAATTTAAACACGCGCCATATTGAGCCACCATTGCCGACTTTCTCTTGTCTTACCTAGAGCCACTAAATGAGCTGCCCTTAGAGTATCGGCACTCTGTTCCCCGACCTTAATCTAGGCGCCGCCATTTTGGTGCTTCTGCAGAGCAGACGCAACTGCCGATCGTCATGATTCAAAAGTGTGACTTCCCCAGCATTAGATTCGGTGTTAGGAAGCTCATGTGATATCACTTTGCTCTGTCGCGAACTCTTTAAACATTTGTGGAGAACAGAAAAGCGTTTCCTGCGATATCAGATAAACCTTCAGAGAACTGGCAACCATGATTTTAAGCCACAATATTTGCAAGTACCTTTACTCTCAAGCGTAGCTAATTTAGTGGCACTAGTCTTACCGATACGTCGAGTCACTGACGCGGGCGTCGACGAGCCTCCAGAAATACCTATGCTGGGGAGAAGAAGAGAAAAGCATGCACTTAAATTTGCATGTTACTCTCTCTGCCGTGGCAACGATGAAATGAAGCGAACGTAATAAATCGAAAGAAAAACTGAAGGTCGCTTATGGGGGCGCTCTTGCACAGCTGCCTAAAAGCGTCTATACTCCGTCTAACCTGATGTTGTACCGCAGCGAAGACTGGAAGCCCAAGCTCATAGCGTTGTGTGTGTGTGTGTAAAACTTTTATTAAGCCTGCAGCAGTAGCCCTAGACTACCGGACGCGGCCTCACGTCGTCGCCAGCACCCTCCGAGAACTTTGCCTCTCTAGGAGTGCCGCGATCTGCTGGACGGCCTGTAGTTGTACCTCGTAGTTGTCGCTTTCGGTGGCGTCTTTGAGTTCCGGTGGAAGGTCCGCCTCTTGGCTTGCTTCCCGTCTTCTTTTGGTGCAGTCCCACGCGATATGCGCAAGCGTTGCTCTGTCGCTTTTACATAGCTTACACACGTCGTCCTGGAATAGGTCTGGGAGAATATGCTTCCCTATTACTGGGGTTAACAGGCATCTTGTTTGTAATTGACGAAATACCACCGCCTCCTTCCTCGTGAGGTTGGGGTGGGGTGCTGGTAGTAGCTGCCTGTCTAGCCTGAATGTCCTAAGCATTTCTCCATACTCACGAGGTTCGTAATGTGATGACTGGCTGCCGGCTCGGTCTCCCAACGCGCGAGCCATGGCGTCCGCCACTGCATTTCCCTCCTCGTGAGCAGGGTACCATTTAAGTGTTACTTTCCCGCAACTCTTATTGTCCAGTGTCCTCGCTGCGGCCTGACTAATTCGTCCTGCCATGAAGTTTCTTAGCGCCCTCATAGAGTCACTGAGCACCACTTTTACTGTTGGCAGCGAGGCCGCTAGGGCGATGGCCACCTCCTCCGCTACGTGCACTTCTTGAGTTCTGATGCTTGCCGCTGTCACTAGTCCACCGTCCTTCGCACGCACCACTGCCGCCACGAAGTGGTCACCGTGTCTTGCTGCGTCGACGTGGACCGTGCCGCTGTCTTCCCCGTGTTCCCTGGTGAGGGACTGGGCCCTCGCCTTGCGTCTGCCTTCGTCGTGTACCGGATGCATGTGTCCCGGTATTGGCCGGATATCCAGCCTCCCCATCGCCGTCAAATCCACCTGTCGATCTTCTGGGCCTGTTAGGGCCTCTATCTTCAGTTGTTTTAGAGTTTCCCTTCCCGTTCTCGTTTTTCCTAGCCTGGCGACCTGAGCCGTTCGCTGAGCCACGATGACCTCTTCCAGCCTGTTGTGAACCCCCAGCGATTCCATCTTCTCGGTGTTCGTGCTGGCGTAGAGCCCCAGTGCATTCTTGTAGGCCTTCCTGATCATGCAGTTCAGTCTCTTCTTTTCGTTGTACTTCCAGTTGTGGAAGGCTGCGATGTAGGCCAAGTGGCTGATCACAAAGGACTGGACCATGCGCATGAGACTATTCTCCCGCATGCCCCCCTTGCGATTCGCCATCCGCTTGACGAGCTGTATTGCCGCATTCGTCTTGTGTTCTAGCTTGTGTACCGTCTCCATGTTCTTCCTTGTCTGTCTACTATCAGGCCCAGGATCCTGATTTTCTTGACTCTGGGGATTACCTGTCCCGTTCCTGTTTGGACGGTTAGCTGGTCCCAGGTCTTTTTTTTTCGGGTTGATCACGAGTAGCTCTGATTTGCTCGGAGAGCAGGTCAGGCCCGTGCCCTCCAGTTCTTCCTCGATGGATAACACCGCTTCTTGCAGCTTGTCTTGCGCTTGTTGTTCTTCGTCCCTCACGGACCACAGCGTGATGTCGTCGGCGTAGATCGTATGGCGGACCGATTGGGTTTCGAGTCGCCTCGCAATCTTCGTCATGACCAGGTTGAAGAGGAGCGGAGAAATGACGGATCCCTGCGGCGTCCCCACACTCACCAGCTCTCTCTCCTCGATGTCTAGCTCTCCGATTTGTAGCTTTGCCGTCCGGCCCGTCAGGAAGTCTCTGATGTAGTCATAGCTTCGCCGGCCAAAGCCTAGCTCCGCTACCCTTTGGAGGATGGCCGAGTGCTTCACCTTGTCAAAGGCGCTCTGCAGGTCTAGGCCTAGAAGTGCTCGTCCCCTGTTCTTCGCATCGACCACCTCTTTCTTGATTAACGCCATCGCATCTTGCGTGCAGAGCTTCTCCCTGAACCCATACATGGTGTTCGGGAAGAGCCCCTCGTCTTCCAGGTATCGTTTCCATCTGTTCATGAGCACGTGCTCTAGCACCTTGCCCACGCAAGACATCAGCGAGATGGTTCTTAGGTGCTCGATGCCCGGTGGCTTTCGTGGCTTCGGAATCAGGATCATTTTTGCTGTTTTCCATTGCTTCGGTAGCTTCCCGGCTCTCCAGCACTCATTGAAGTACTCCGTGAGAGCCTCCACCGCCTCATCGCTTAGGTTTCGGAGAGTCTTGTTGTTCACCTTGTCCTGTCCTGCCGCCGACTTGCCGTTCACCCTCTGGAGGGCATTTCGGATCTCCCAGGACTCCAGATCTCTGTCTAGCTTCTCGTTCTCCGTTCCTGTGTAGTCCCCATGTACCACTTTCTCGGTTTCTGGAAGGTGTTTCTCTCGCAGCTTCTTCTTGGTTTCTTCCTCTCCCAGCTCCCTGATAGCTGTTTGGACGATGCCGGCCATTCTGTTATGTTGGTAACCTTTGGTCTTTGTTTCGTCGATCAGGTGCCTGAGCAGCCGCCACGTCGCCCCGTTGTGCATCTGCTTGTCCGCCTTGTGGCACATGTCGTCCCATTGCTGCGACGAGAGTTTCGTACAGTGCTCTTGGATCTTCTTATTGAGCTCCGCTATCTTCTTGCGAAGACTTCTGTTGAGCCTCTGTTGCCGCCACCGGTTGGTGATGGACTGCTTGGCTTCTATCAGGTGTGCTAGCCTGCTGTCCATCTTCCCGTCGGTGTCTTCGGTCGTCTCTGTTTCCCGCGTGGCTGCCATGGCCGCTCGCTGCAGTTTCTTCGTCCAGGCCTCGATGTCGGTGATTTCTCCCTTTGGTGCCGCCTCTTTGAATACCTCCCAGTCTGTAAAGGTTAGCTTCCTGGGGGTTCTCGCTTTGCCTTTCAGAGGGATCTGGATCTCCACGATGAAGTGGTCGCTTCCTAGGTCTTTCTTCGTGTTGGTCCAGGTGGTTTCCCCCTCGTTGGTGAAGACCAGGTCGGGCGTAGTGTCTCGGTCCGTCGACTTCCTTCCCATTAGGGTTGGTTGCCGAGGATCCGTGATCAGTTGTAGGTCAGCTTCGGTCGCGTCTTCCAGCAGGTTCCTTCCCTTCACTGTTACCGCCTTGTGGCCCCAGTACGTGTGCGGGGCGTTGAAGTCCCCTGCTACTACCAGGGTGCTTTCGCCGGCCCGTCTCAAGTTCTCGTGGAATAGGTGCTTGAAACTTTGCCTGTTCTGCTTCGGGTTGCTGTAGACATTCGACAGGAATATGCTTTCTTTCCCGACGATTATCTCCACCGTCTGCTTCTCGAGCTTGGGATCCCCTTTGCAGTCGTGCTCCAGCGAGTTTACGCCCCTCCTCACGAAGGTGCATATGCCTCGCTGGCCTTGCTCCGGACCCTTGGCGTGGACCCGGTACCCCGACAGCTTCGGCTCTTGGTTAATGGTTTCTTGCACCATGATGACGTCCGGCTTGCGGGTCTGGTTGCGGACGTATTGTTGCAGCGTCGATTTCTTGTTTCCTAGGCCCCTGCAGTTCCATATCCACGCCTTTAGTGTTGCTGCCATTGTTGGGCCGGTATGAGACTTGCTAGGGTGTCCAGCCGTTCTGTGATCTTGGTGAACGTGGCCATGAACCGGTTCTCCATGGACGTGAGGCGGTTGTCTAGGCTATCCACTTTCCCTTCAAGTCTGTCTACCCGCGCTGACAGAGACTTGAACTCTTGCCTAAGGCCTTGGTTTTCTTCCGGTCTTCGGAATCTGCTCCCATCCAGGATTTTTCGCTTAGCCGGTGGTTCTTCGACCATTTCCACGGAAACCTCGTCCTCCTTTGCCGGAGCCTTTTCTTCTGTCTTCTGATTTCTTTCCTTCATCGCCGCTATATCTGCCGCCATTCTCTTTATTGTTTCCTCGAGCTCGGCGACCTTCCTCGCCTGCTGCTTGTTCGCCTCCTTGAGCGCTTTCATTTCCTTGCTCCCCGACTGCTCGGCCACCTGTGCCCATGACGTCTTCGCCTTGCCGCCTGCGCTCCTGCTTCTCGAGCGAAACGCGGTTCGCTTCGGCGTCCGCGATCGCGAGTCTCGGAGGCGCAGCTGCGGGAAGTCCTCCACCGTCTTCTTCGGAGGGAAATTCCCCGTTCCCGCCTTTTCGGCTGTTAGTCCTAGTTCCTTGCGTTCCCAATGTCTTCGCTTCACGATGTACCGCGTTATGAACTTGTTCTTGCATTCCTTGTTCCCGGTAACGTGTGGACCCCCGCATAGCTTACATTTCGGCGTACACTGGTGGTCCCGGTCCGTCTTTTCTCCGCACCCGATGCACACCTTGGTCTCCGGCGTCGGGCAAACATCTACCCGGTGTCCGACCTTTCCGCAGCCTCTGCATACCTCATAGTGCTTGCGGTATAGGGTACACCTGAGCAGTCCGCCTTCGTAGTACACGTAGTTCGGCACTTTCGGACCCTCGAAGACCACGATGATGGTAGTCGATGACCCGATTCTCTGCGCCGCTCTTGCCTTGGGATTTCTTGCGTTCAGAATGTTGTCCATTATCGTCTCTGCCGAGTCTTCCACGGGGATTCCCCTCACGCCGCCCTTCACGGCTCCGTCTGGTGCGGCCGCGTAGGCACTCACTCCGTAGGTTCGGTCTTCGATCTTGATTTCCTTCACCCCGGCATATTTCCTTGCTCGCAAGTCGTCGGGCGTACTGATTACCATGATGTTTTGCTGTACGTTCGGACATTGGGTGTCGTACATGGTCTCGGCTCGCGTGAGGCTCGCCGCCGTTCTAATTGCCGTCATGACCGTAATAGCCGACGTCTTGGCGAGGTTTAGGCCCCCACGAGGCCTTACGATAATCTTGTTCTCCTCCTTCGGTAATATCCCCGGCATCCTGGCCGCCCTAGTCGACGCCGCCATTGTTCGCCGAACGGCCCTCGTGTTAGCCTTAGCTTCCTGAACCTCGTTTTTCTTGCCGATTTTAACACGCAGCCATCCTGCGCACTCTTCAGGCTCGACTTCCATGCGGGGAACCTCCACGATAGTGTTTCCAGAACTTGTACTCACGTTGGCCATCATCTTCCGACGTCCAAGTCCCCCCGTCGGCGGGCCCGGTCGGTTAGGCTTCGCGGCCCTCGGCCGCCTCCAGAAGCAAAGTCCTTACAAAATCAAAAATTCTGGGTTCACACCCACAAATTTGGTATCCACAGGTTCTTCGCGTCACCGCCGAAACGTTGGCACCAAAATTCGGAATAATTAGGCAAACTAGACGCTAATTAGGACACTTCGAAGCGGGAGCCGATGTGAGACATGTCTGTCCCAGGTGTAACTTCTTTTTCTTCTCAGCTCATAGCGTTGGCAGCTGCCCTTAGCACAGGAGAGCTCGTGCCGCCGAGATGCGCCCTAGAGCAAGAAGCTCGCGCTTCTAGCCTTTCTTGCGGTACATCATAGGGTGAGATAGAGTATAGACGCTTTACACACGCGCCAGATTGAGCCGCCATAGCCGCCCTTCTCTTGTCTTACCGAGATGCCGAGCCACTGAAGCGGGCGTTGACGGGTCTTCACAAGGGCCTATGCTCGGCACAAGAACGCAGTAGCATCTAAAATGGCAATAACCTGTCCTGCTGTGGTAATGATGAAGTGAAGCGATCGGAATAAGACAGAACAAAAACTGAAGGTCAGTTATGGCGGCGCCCATGCACAGCTGCTGTAAAGCGTGTATAACTGAGCTAGGCCAGGCTCAGTTCAACTCAGGGATCGTTAGCGGCTCAATGACAGTTGGCGCCGCCGTCGTTGGCTTTATGACAGCTGAGAGCGCTAGTGTAACTAGGCTATTCCACTCGCGAGTTCTGGCGTTAACAAAGCTTCTCCTGTCCTCTTGTGGAGGAGATCGAACAGTCACGCCTCTAGCGGCATGCTTCAGCTGTCTGGGCAAACAAAAAACCGAATTTTCTTGCATGTTGTTGATCGGAGAATTCGAAGATGACGATTCGAGGGCCGCTCCTCGCAAGTCCAAAGCACTGGTCAAAGCGAAGCGCTCGCGCCCAGACTTTGCTAAGCGAGGTACCATTTCTTTTTTTTTTTTTTTGTGTGTGTATTAGTAGACAACGGGCCTTGTGGACAACAAGCTGGATAAAGCATCCGCAACAGTTCGATCTCCCGTCAAAAAACAACAACAAAAAGGGGCCCTGGTGGTTGTATTGTCAGTGTTTGTGCGTATGGTGCGCGATTTGCTCGCTTTCCGAAGAAGACAAACATGCGCGTGCTGGGCGGAAGGAATCGCACACTGGGCTGAAGACTTTTCAATATTGGAGTGGCGTATACTTTCTTCACTGCAGCTAAAGCTACAAGCTTGAGCTAGCCCGCGCTTTCGGCTTTGAGACGTGCATTCCTAGCGCGAGTGCTACTTCTGCGGAAGAACGCTTTAGAACAGCGACCTTGAGCTCTCGTGCTTGTGGCATTGGCAACAGTCTCAGCTAAGGTTGAGCCAATGAGGCAGAGGGCCTTCGAGCAATAAACTGGCAGCTGAAAGTCACCCCCGATTGGCCGCCGCCATGTTGCACATATTTTGACCACTAGACCAACGCCTCCTGCACTAAGATGCCTGTCATAACAGCGGCGCGCGTCCTGTTGTGCCCTCTCCCTCCTTCCCGCTCCCCTTCACCGAAATGACCGCGAGGGGCGCTGCCGACTGACACTATCGCTCGCAGCCTCGACAGCGCGGAATATTTGACGTCTCCTGTTGTGATACCAGTAGGGGTGTGCGAGGAGTGGTTCCAATCAAATTGCGCAGTGTCATCCCTAGATTTAACAGCGCAAAGAGAGCCGGTTGCATCGCCTTTTCTTTGTACCGCAAAGGCCATCAATGACGTTGTGCTGTACAAGGGGAACAGCGCACCCGCAAAACAGTTACTCAAGTGCACGCACACAAAAGGAAGACACACTTACGCAGCACTGACTAACAGCTCTTTGGTATAGACGCTTTCAGGCAGCTGTGCACGGGCGGTGCCATAACCGACCTTCAGTTTTTATTCCCTCTTATTCCGTTCGCTCCACTTCATCATTACCACAGCAGGACATGTTATTGCCATTTCAGATGTTACTGTGTCCTTCTCCCTAGCATATACGCCTTTGTGGAGGCTCGTTAACGCCCGCTTCAGTGGCTCGGCATCTCGGTAAGACAAGAGAAGGTCGGCCATGGCGGCTCAGTCTGGCGCGCGCTGAAAGCGTCTATATTTACACTTTCGTCTTCGTCTTCTTTTGGTATTATGGACTAGGGCCATCGATAATCATATGGTCTTTTTCTTCAACAGGATGCTAAAACGTAAACCAAACACCAAAGCTAAAATTTCCGCGCCAGTTGTTCCAAGACGGCAGAGCACCCAGCGCGAGTTGATGATGATGATGTAGGTGTAGCTTCAAAATCGGGCGATTTTGAAGCATGCTCGTGCCTAGCAAGCATCTCCACGTGGTGAATGATGTTGGTTGGGGCGAAGCTCTGGTGGTGCTTGTCTGCGTAGACGCTGAGCCGCAGCATGCCGAGCCTTTCGTTCGTTTTCATCCATGTCAGAAAGAGAATGTGTGCATTTGACCGCAGCGCCCTCTCGTCTATAAACATCGAGCCAATGCAGGCAATGTTTAATGCGATTGTACGCATTTGACCGCAGCGCCCTCTCCTGTATAGACGTTCAGCAGCTACATGCAATGTCTCATCAATGACATCCCCAGCTCTTGAGTTACTACCACATCTCAGAGCCCCTACTCGTCCCGCAGTCGTGGCCGAGTGGTTAAGGCGATGGACAATAGAAATCCATTGGGGTCTCCCCACACAGGATCGAATCCTGTCGACTGCGCAAACATTTTTTTTTCATAATTTTTCTTTTATATTTTGCCCTACGTGAGCACGTGAGCGCGTGAGCTCACGAGCACGAGCATGAGCACGAGCACCAGCAAGATCGATGTGAGCACGGACGCCGGACGGACAAGGCTAGACCCTAAAGCGGGTTTCACATGCAGCGATTTTGGCCCTAAAGCCGCGCGATTTCTGCCGTCGCAGCGCTCGTGCCGCAGAATTGCTGGTGCTGGCCAGAGCGCCGCGACGGCAGAAATCGCGCCGCTCTAGGGCCAAAACCGCTGCATGTGAACTAGGCTTAACCGCCGAATTCAGCACCCTCACTCAAACCACACTCAAACTGAAGGGCCCCTCCACTTCCTCGAGGAAGGCGCGAGGGGCCCTTCAGTTTGAGTGTAGTTTGAGTGAGGTTTCTGAATTCGGCGGTAAAAAACTTCGCCCCTAAAAAAAGAAAAAAAAAATTGTATCGGGGGCGAGCGTTAAGCGGGTTTCACATGCAGCGATTTTGGCCCGAAAGCGGCGCGATTTCTGCCGTCGCGGCGCTCGTGCCGCTGAATTGCTGGTGCTGGCTAGAGCGCCGCGACGGCAGAAATCGCGTCGCTCTAGGGCCAAAACCGCTGCATGTGAACTAGGCTTTAAGCGTGTTTCACATGCAGCGATTTTGGCCCTATACTTCGTCTGGCAGTTTGATACTTTAGACCCATGTTCCGGATAAAAAAAACAGGACGCGGGATGGCCAAAAAAACATGCTTTTCGTGCAAGGCTCGTCAAATTATGAGGCGCTGGAGAAATGCAGCATTCTGCGTTAAGTCCTTATTTTGAACTCTTTTTGTTCGCCTTCCGCCCATTGAAAAGCATGCGGGGTGGGCCTTCGAACGCACCTGGTATTGCTGCGCCGCAGCGTTCTTCCGCATCAAAAAGTTCGTCTGCTTTCCTCGCCGTCACCATGGCAACGAACGCCGAATGAATAGAAGCACGCACGGTACCGCCGCGTGAAGCCAGCAACAGCTGACGCCATTTTACGAACGCCGTCTGCTAGCCAAAGCCGAACCCGGTGTGTCAGATCAACCGCCGGTGCGCCGCTAGCAAAGACGACGAAGATGAGACACGCCGTCGGCGATCGAGCAAGCAACAACACCACGGGACGACTGCAACGGCAGCATTTATTTGGATCAAAGGCCGCCTTCGCCGGTGCGCCGCTAGCAAAGACGACGAAGCTGAGGCACGCCGACGGCGAATGGGCGAGCAACAGCACCGCCGGACGACTGCAACGGCGGCATTTATGGGGATCAAAGGCGCGAAATAAGCAAGAACAATTTTTATTTGAATCATACCACCCGATATCCAAGTTGGGGACCACATACCTTTGCTGGGTCTTTACTGTGAACTTTTTACAGACACACGGGGTGCCGCATTCAAAACACAGCTCCGTTTGCAAAATATGGGGGCCCTGAAAAGGACCGTTGAGACCGCTACCAGAACCTATAACTGACGTAACGAGCACTTGACGAGTGGCTGGCGCATAAGTCGTCTTTATGCATGCAGGCGGGTGACGGGCTCAGCGCAGCGGATCCCTCGAAGTCACCGGGGCCGTCAGAATCCTCGCCCTGTCTGCGTCGGGGCTCTAGATTTTGGCGGCCGCGGCGACGAACGACTGAAATCTATCAGTGTTTCCGCGCGCCTTGTCTCTCCTCCAAAACATGAACTTTGCAAGGTGACCAGTGAAATGGTGGCTCTCGCGCCGTCCAGATGGAAGAGAGTTTTTGACGTGGGCCCAGGTGCAATCCACCGTATTGGTGTGCGCACCAGTGTTCGCGTCGACAAAGTTAAGCTTATGGTTGACGGTGAGGTGCGTGAAGCGAGCGTCATCTGCAAGCTTGCGATAGCCAGCCCAACAATCTCTGATTATTCTTGTTCCAGGGCGGACCCACTTGGCTATTAGCCCTTGCAGGGTTTTAGCGTCACGGGTCTCCACGGGAACAAAAAAGCAGCACCCGCTGCAACGCGCCACACCGCCGAAAGCCCACTGGCCAGGCCTTAAATACCCGCGATGGTACTTGTGCCGACCGATCATACTCTCGTCTAGTTCTACAGTCACGCCTTCGCCACCAATCATGTCTGAATGCTTAAAGACGGCATTTAACACAACCTCCCGACAAAGGCTCGCCCAATCAGTTATTGTCTTACTTGCGATATCAGCCTCCCGCTGAATGACGGCCCACGGTAG